AATTTTACAACACCTCTTTGCATGCCAAGTTGATGGGGCCAACGGGACATTGATTAAGTTAGTTGAGGGGTGTTAAGCCATGCCGGCCTCCATGAACTTGTATGAAGAGAAAGGTTCAATATAAGGTCATCGTTGAATCATCATTCCTTCTTGTCTTCTTCTGTATCATCTTCATCAAAATCTTCCGTGCTTTCAATGTTGTCTTGCTTGACTAAGCTGATATCACCCTCTAGCTTGGCCCTCGTAAGAGAGTGAGATTCTTCGTCATCAGACTCTTCTCCCACTTCATCTGAGTAAGCATACCTATGGACATTTGGCAGTTCAAATCAGCTCAGTCGGGTACAAGGGAACCTAAGAATTCTATAACATGAAGGAATTTATCTAACGAGCGATGTCAGTTACAGATAGAGTTCCTGATGTCATGAATGAGGGAAACATTCCATCTATTGCATTAAAATCCAAACAATAATGAACCTAAAAAAGCATGTGGATGCTTGACACTTTGACATGATGCTTTAACTCCGTATACTCTGGCATTTATTGGTTCAATAAGTGACAATACAAATTGCAGAAAAGTTGCAAGCGGATCCAAAGTAAGCAACATACTCTCCATTGAGGACACCTTATTTCCCTAGCAAAAGGATTCGACTTAAGGATTATATTGACTATATAGGAATAAAAGAGTATAACGCACCGTTGAGAACTCTGAGATGGAGCCCAAAGATAGCAGATCACACACAGCAATGCAAATGCAAGAATATCCCAGAAAGCAGTGATGACCCAAGCACTCTGCCACTTCTCATTGAATGGATCTGTTGCTTTAAAGTACACCTGCCAGCAGAGGCTTGTCAAATGTCTAGTAGATATTCAAACCCATGAAAAAGATCAAAATTTGAAAGGATAAGACACAGGCATACAAAGAACCCAAGTTCACAACCGAAAAAAAAAAAGCATGAGAAAAAGTGAGCAGCATGCATAATAATAGTACAGTATATAGACACTACACCATATGAGTATCACTTAGTCTGTCTGCCAACATAATCTGCTAGTCTGCTACTCATAATGCCTTCTTTACATTAACCAGACAAAAGGTGGTGATATTTTTCAACTGCAAGATTTCTTGGTGTAACTCAGTAACCTCATAATCTTGACCAGGGGGATCCCGGCGCAAAATCAGAGGCCATGAAGGAACAGTGGTGAGTACATAATCATATGCAATCCTATTTAATTTCATATGGTGAATTGCTAAGATTCCAATTTGGCTTCAATTGAAGCCTTTATATGAGTATATTTTCAAATATAGACAAAACACTCAGAATCCTCAGTGTTTGTACGTCAAATTTGTGCAGGTTGAAGATATGAAACACTTGACCAAAAATTTTCTAGTCAGCCAAGGATGCAGGAACTCATTCTTTACCTGGGCCTAGTTAAGATAAATAAAACCATACCTCATACACTATCCATGCAACCGAGGCAATGACTGTAACTGCTAATACATTTGAGAACTTCCTATACATATCCAGTTTGACAGAGCTTCTCTTTGCCTGAGAAGAATATATAGTTCAACATTTATAACTGCTATGTTACAGCGAAAATAAAATAAAAGTCAGGCACGAAATTAAGAAACAACAATGCCATTGTAACTTAAATAGAGGAATTCAAAATTTTATACCTGTAGCTGCTCTAGTGTTTTTGAGAGAGAAGTAAAAATCCATAATATCAAAAATGCGTCCAAGAAAGCATCAGGAAGAACTAGAAACAATCTTGCTCTTCCGGATACATCATTGATTGTCCCCACATACTCCGTGATATTAAGCAACTCTGTGGCCAGAAAAAATGTTATTCCAAGGAGAAGCACCTTTGAGGTAAGGCCCCCGAGAGTGGGCCGCACCACACCATAACCCATTGAAACAATGAGGATAAGAAGCCGGGAAACTGTTTTTCTCACAGCTCCAACTGTCACAACCAATGTTGTAACAACAATTGGCCTCATCCCTGTATTATTAAAATTTACATAATCAAAATACCAAAGAATCATCTCAAACAACCCAAGAGCAATAACAGCTGTGATGCAGTGCTGAAGTTGCAGAATATCCTTCCAAAACCTCACATACTGAGTGAACCAAATTATTCCAAGCAACACGTAAGCAAGTGCCATAAACACATAAAACTTCATTAGTGGAGCCATTCGACCCGGTAGATAACCATCAGGATTTTTCCACAAAGTCTTCCCGCTCATAGTTAGTCCCTTTAGTTTTGGATCACATGCTACAAAAAACAAGTTATACATCCCAGTTTTTGGGATTAAAATCTCTTGATAATCCATGTTTGTGTACAGGTAGTTCCCACGAGACTGTACATTTATAACAATAGGCCAATTACTATCTGTTGCAGAAGGTCTCCTGATAACTTCACCTTGCTTACAACCTTCCATCTTAGCAAGATCAGGAGTGCAACATATAGCTCTTTGTCCGCCATAAGCAGAACCACCGATATTATTCCTATCAGCTGTCTCAAATATTATAACTTGTATCAACCCAGTACTATGCTCCATGTCTGAAAGCTTCTCAGCAGCATCCTTGCTCCTCCAGAAGGTGATATTCTCGAATCTGTTCCACACAGAAATGTCAGAGACAAAAGTGATGATAAAAAATTTATTTGGTGAGGAGAGGCAGGAATGACGGAGCAACTTGCACATACAACAAGACTATGTTGCTGTCAAATAAATCGCACCATGTAAATGTATCGGACTATGAATTCAGTTACATTGTCTACACAATATAAAGCAGTGTCCTTAATACTTATTCAGGTCCCCGCCAAAAAGAATGATTATGCACTTGGTGAATGGCAATGTGAGGACACTCTGAGACTAAGAAATGATGCTTACAATAAATAAAACTAGAAGATCTACTTCAGCTGCTTCAAGAAAAAGTTTTTGTGAATTTAGTTTTGCACACTATACTTTCCGCGAAACAATTTCTAGAAATCCTTCTTTTATTCTCTTTCATGTCCATGGATTCAGCAGGATCATAGTTACACCATATTTCGCATTCATCGTCTATGTCAGTCATCATAAACTAGTGACTTGGTAAATTTAATTGATCATTAATTTGCATCGAAAACGTAGTTGGATGCTACTAACTAAAACCCAATGTTTATACTATACCCTTCATTGAGAATATTACTATACTGTATTAAATTTCCCCACTTCTGTTCCATCCCACATTCAGATACATTGAATTAAGCTTTACCCTTTTCATAGAACACATTTTATTGGCTACCCAAACAAAAGTAGAAATACCCAAATCGATCACCCACTTCAAAATTCAAAAATCTAAAATCTTGCACATGTCCAACATTCCAAAAACCCAATAAAATTGAATGAAGCAAATTGTACACAGGTCTAGCAATAAACTGAAAGAAATGCAAATGCGAAAGCATTACCGAATGTAAGAACGGGCGGAAAGAGTGGCGGCGATGCCTTCGCTGCCGCCGGAGAGAAGGTTAGCATTGCCGACTTCTCTGAAGGTTTGGTTGTCGTAGACGTGGATCGAGGCGTTTGTGGGGTTTGGAAGGAATGACAGCAGGAGGAGCAGAGACAGCGTCAAGAAAATGCCATGGGGAATGCCGTTGCTTCTTCTTGTTCTCCTCGTTGCTCTAACCTGGATTGTGAAATCCATACTCTTTGGAGATTGGACTCGTTGAGCTCTGGTGTTTGAGGTTAGAGAGAGAAATGGAGGGGAGAGAGAGTTGGCGAACTGTGAAGGGTGAGTGAGACCTAAGCAATGTGTCGATGATGGATGCAACTGCTGATTGCTGTCGGTCAGGCTGTAGGTGGTTACGCGCCATATGAGAAATTTTTTATTATGACGAGACAGGAGGTATATTGTTTTTAGAAAAATTGTTAAATTTTTTTTGTTAAGTTATTAACTTTTTAACGCATATTATTTATTATTTATATAATAACACGTGATTTGTGTATCGATCACGTTAAAAAATCTATTGGCACGTAGCCCCGGAATTGACGGCTGACCTGAATTTTATTTTTCTCAACTATTTTCTACCCTATTTGGACAAGCAAAATAAATAATAGCCACCTTTTGTAATTTTTTTTTTTTTTTTTGGTCATATCTATTTTTAACCATTTGCACAGTTTCTTAATGTTTTTCATTGAGGATTCAAGGTTGGAGCATGATTCATGTTGAATCTAAAGGATCCATTGCTGATAGATGCATTTGGCATCTCATCCTTTTGGTAGTAAGGTAGTAGCACACTAGCACCTAAATGCACAATTATCGTGATTTTGTTGTCTGAAAATAGGTAATGGTTACTCGTTTGGTTGATAGATACTAAATATTAGTTTGGTTGATAGGGATCCAAATTTTTTTTTTTTTTTTTTTTTTGAGGAACGAGATAGACTGAAGCATTTCTCAAGAACAATAGACTATGTTGATGACGGTGGTGGCGACAAGTTGACGACGGTTATATTGTTACCGTTGCAGAGATGATGTGTTATTGGGCACGTAGGTGGAGAAAAGAAAAGAGAAGAGGTTAGGGAAGAAAATGACCTGTTTTGCCTTTTGAAGAGGATCACATGGAAGATTAAACGGAAGACTAGATGGAAGTTATAAAAATTTAACTATGGGGCAAAACTTAACCAATTGTACGCGTTCATTGGAAAATTGGCAAAAATTAAAATTGAGGAAGAACATTGGTAGTGTCTTACAAGTTTCGGGGGTAAATTGACTAATATTATTCAATCCAACAATGCATATGTTCTTTTTTTTTTTTTTTTTCCATGGAAAAATACAAATTTTGTTGGAAACGTAGAAAAATCAAATAAAAAGAGAGATTGGTCATAAAATACGATTCAGACAACAAACACAATTCATTAATTTTATTTTAACTTAAGACATTGAGTCAAGGCTTTTGCCTCATACAATTCTTAATATATTATTAAGGTAAGACATTATAATTATTAAAGTAATTAATTATTATTATTAATTAGCAGTGACTGCTATCTTTTGGCCACGATCGCAGTGGCCAGGAACACCGCAGATGAAGTAGTATTGTCCTCGCGCAAGTTTGATTTCATCGTTTCCCGACGAGAATTCTTTGCCGCTGGCTGTGCATGTTTTGTAACCATTTTCATCTACCACTACCACATTGTGCTGGTCCTTATTGTATTTGAACACTGCAAATACAACAAATGAGAGCAAAAATGAAAAATAAGAGAGATGCAGAAGATATATATAAGAAACAACGCACAAAACGAAACAAAATAACCATTTCAACAGGTTCGCTTTCGAAATTGTGATACAATTTTGTATCAATTCCTCTAGATTTCTTCTGCTATCTTCACCCCTCTTTTTAATTTCTTCTTTCCTTAATAATCCTTTTCTCATACGTCGAAAATAGAAAGTAAAAACTAAAACTCAAAACCAAAACGATTATCAAACAAACCCGTACAAAAATATAAGTTGGCGTGAAGTTAAATTAGAATTTACCCAATGTATCATCGGCAGCAAAGGTCTTGCCCTTAGGCCAGTCCTCGACGTTGAAGGTCCAGCCAGCATCATCTCCGACGGTGAAGGTTTTGGCATGAGCAATCCCACCATGCAACGCCATGCACAACCCTATCACTATTACTGCGGTTACAACTGCGCTGCCTCTAACCTGAGTGGCCATTTTCTGACTGTTGCAGGTTGAAAAATGACAGACGGTAAATGTAAAAAGAGTAAAGATGAATATTTTTACAGTAAATCGGACAAGTTTGCATACAATTATGTGATTTTTGTTCACTTTTTATAGGTGAATAAAGATGAATATTATTACAGAAGTTCAATCTGGAATTTAATGCGTTAAGATTTTGTAATGATATGATTTTAATTTATTCGAAATCACATTTGGAAATATAATATTTATTTCCTGAGAGAAAGATATGATTTTATCTCTCTCGATCCACCTATTGTACCAATCTCTATATTAGAAATCCATATTCCTTAAAAATAAAAATGGTAAAGCTTTAAATACATTTTCACTGTCTGAAAATGCTAGAAAGATCACATTATTAAACTATATTTTGTAGACCAAGTGATGCGTCGTTGATAGTTGGATACTTTTTTTTAATAAGGTGGTACTATCTACACACCTATTTTTACTTCTCACACACCACTTTCAATTTTCGTCTAGCAAATCAAATGAATTGAAGAAGATCAATGGACAATAATTAACAAGGGTGTGTGAGAAGTAAAGAAGAGTGTATGAATATCACTATCCCTTAAACAATGAATCTGACCGTCAATTGCCACATCATGTAGTCAGTGATCTACGAAAAATGATTCAAGTAGATAGTTTCTCTAGCATCACTCCCTAACCCCTAATTGAAGTTGAGCTTATAAAATAATACAGCCTTGTAAATATAGTCATTGGGTTGATGAGTCTTACGGAAATTCTTCTCCGCACATTGGAACGCTAAACAATCAATCTTTTGTCCTTTCATGCGCCCGAGAGCAAAGCTCATGAGTTTTACCCTTAAATTTTCACTCGTGGTTTATCTTTTAATCTCTGTTTTTACAGTGCTAAAAGTAAAAGATTAGATTATTGAATCCGCAATTACTTCATGTAAAAATAAAAAAATAAAAAAAAATCCCAAGTGTAATAAAATATTGAATTTCTTATGTAATTCAAGTGTAATATAACGTTATTTAGTATAACGTTATATTTTACACTACGAGAAGGGAAGTTCGGTTAAGCCACACAATGAACAACCTAATTTGGTATCAAATTCGTCATCTATGAGATCCAAACCTAAGATCTTTCATTTACAAATGAAGAGGAATATCATCAGACCGTAAAAACACTCCTAGAGATAATCAGTGCATCTTCTACACCGGTGTATGGTAGAAGCACTCGTAGAGATTAACTAGCGGTTATCTTTCTCCGTCAAGTTACAGTTTCTGCTCCAACCTTTCAACTGAGTTAGATGTACAACCATCTCTTTCAAAGTAGCAAATATCAAACACAAGCTACTTCATATGCTCCATATATCTTCTTTCTTAGAAACATGTCACCCTTTCATCTGTTTCACTTTTCAAAGTAGATGGAAATTTGACACACCGGCGGCACACGTGAGCCTACCTGGACAATGTTGTGTTTACACTTTACACTACGTTATGTTTCAAGTTCTACACATGAAAAGGATTGTGATTGAAAGATTTCCTAATTCAGATTCCTAATGTTGAGTTTGAAGGAGGGGTTACCAAGTACGACGCGATTTAGGCATCCTTAGTAAGAAAACTTCTTACAGACATCATTAGTTCCTCCAAATCTTTGTATAGAAGAAAACTTCTCCAAAGCAAACCGTGCCCCTTGTGCACAAGCTTCCATCCAAGCAGTAAGCATTTCCACCATTTTCAGAATCTCGACTGTCCGCATTGCTGAAAACTATGTCCGAAGGCCAGTGCAAGAGATTGCGAATGATCAGCTTGAACCACCAACGATCTCTTCCTTGATATATTTGACCGCATTTGAGACACCATCCTGAAAAGTAAAACATTATTTGGTAAATTAGATTTGTAACACCTTTTATTCATGTTCTCAAGTCAGATTTTCAGAGAACAACCACAATTAGTTTGGGATTGCCAATAGGTTCTATTCTTCATTCTTAATAACCAGATGGAGCTTTTTTTTTGCCCCCTATTGAGAACGGGATACTCAGATATAATATGAAATTTCAGAACCACAACATTTAGAACAAAATATATAAGTCAGATCTCCAAACTATGATAGTGATTGAAAACTAGGAATATCCAACCTAGTAGAAAATTACAAATGCAAAGAAAATATTTGTTTCCATGCAAAGAAAACATTTCAATGTGAATTTTGTAGACGCATTGAATGGCATCACAGATTACACATATCACGTTGAATATTGAAAAACATAAACAAATCACGTTGCATGCCACGATAAACTATAAAGTCCCCTTCTTCTTCCTCCCCCTTCTGCCAAATCTATTTAAAATTACAGTACCATAATGACACTTCAGAAAGGGAGTGAGGAAGGTGATGGATTAGGAATAGGAATTATACAGTAACTTTGCACATCCTAAGAGTGACAGAACGGGACATAACTCATATAAATATTCCAATTCAAGGACATATAAATCTACATGTGTGGTCTTTCTACCAACAATTATTAATTTCATAATTCAAGAGTAAGTGTTACCTCAAGAGAGATTCTCTTAGAAACTTCTACAGCATGTTCCTTAATTTCAGGGGATAATGCATCCTGTATGGCCCTCGATAGAAAATTTGCCGCTATTTTCTCACCACTTGCTTCTGGAAGTAAATGGGTTCTTTTCAATGGCTCAGGTGCTACTCCAAGCCAAAACATTCTTTCAGCCCAGTAAAACTGATCTAGCACAAATGGACATACTACCTGCAATTTGTTTTTGCCTCTTGACTGTTATAACTGATATACTTGATTAACAAAAGAAAACATATGTGCATGATTGAATATAGAGATGCATGTACTTCCATAAATAACCTGTGGGATTCCTGCCAATAGTGCTGCAGCAGTAGTGCCACTTCCGCATTTACAGGAAACAGGAAATAAAAAGTCAATACTTCACTTGTTACATATTACCACAAAATGTTGAAGTAATTTGAGAGGAAAAAAGAAATTGATAGGCTCAATTAGAACAATTAAAATGGCATTGACAAAATCAGCAACTAAGCGAACATATAATAAGAGTTGGAGCACTCTCACCTTCCCCCATGATGAATTGCAGCAGCACATCGAGTAAACAGCCACTTGTACGGTACAGTTCTATTCAACAAGGAAATAAAATATTATTTAGCAGAGGTAAAGAATAACCAGAGGCCAACGCACTGCAACTTACTGTGTTTTGAAATTTAAGGATGGGAAGATCAAACTCAAAAAACACAAAAAACACAAAAAAAAAAAAAAAAAAAAAAAAGCAGCGAGAAGATAAAGAACGCCAAGAATTAAGTACATTAGGCTATAACTTTAAGAGGGCAGCAACAACGAATCTCCACTATATCATCAACGGTGCAGCAAAAATATATTATCAAGCTTCAAGACTTGATGAACAACTAGAAAGGACAAGAACGAGAAAACAAGGAACACTCTTATCCCTTTCTTCTGTCTCACACACACTTTGCCTTCCATATTCTCTCATTCTAACACTCGAGTGGTTTGGACAATCTACTTAATTGATTGGATGAACAAATATGATCCACTACAACCTTTCTAAATTTTCCTTTAAAATATCAATCCATAGTCTAATAAAGTTCCAAATAAGTGCTAGTCATAAACAACTTAAAAGATGTTCCTGAAATTAAGTTATTATGAGAACCAGTTACCTCAGTTACTTAGCCTTTTCTATAGGTTTTTTAGCCAAAATCATCCCTGAGATTGACATAACTCCTCACCTTGGTCCCTGAGATTTAAAATCGATAGAAGTGGTCCATGAGTTTGTCCACCGTCAATCATTTTGGTCATTCCCTAAAAAATCTCTGTTAAAGAATGACCAAACCAACAAAAAAAGCCTCATTTTTCTGTCAAACCAATTTTGGCCCATTATTTATTAAATTGAGGATATTTTTGTCCTTTTGGTCCTTATTTGAATGGCCAAAATGATTGACGGTGGATAAACTCAGGGACCACTTCTATTGATTTCAAATCTTTGGGACCAAAGTTAGGAGTTATGCCAATCTCAAGGACCATTTTGGGTAATATGCCTTTTCTATATAAAAGCTGTGCGGTTTTTATGTAGTAGACTCCTATGTATCTTGGTGTTAACTGTTAAGATTAATACCAAGAGTACACAGGAGTCAACCTTAGTTAACTATTGCATACACTAAGTATAAACACAGTGAAGGGTAATTATGTTATTATCAAATATTAAAGTACTGTAACTACATGCAACATGTTAAGAGAAAAAAATGTGATTTTGCTGTCACAAACACATTCAGGTGGGAGCAGATCGGAATGAGATGGTCATACAAGAAGCTTTTTGCATAGTTTTTTTATTTTTTTTAATTTTAGTTTTGAAATAGCTTACATACTTTTTTCTTTCCAAATATCCTCACAAGGTTATTGTTTCCAAGTAAGTTTGCCAATAAACATTCACAAACATTACAAGTTTCAAGAGAAAAAATGCTCATTTTATATTCTTATAAATACGAGGTGCTCACCCAGAAAAGCAAAAGAGTCGGTCATTGAAGAGAGAAATGCACTCGTCATTAAACTGCTTGTGGGTTGCATATGGTGATGACTCAGCGGCAACTGCTCGGATTGCTGCATCTAAAGGTATGTAGCCGGCTGTAAAGAGGATAAAGCGGTAATTTGTTATCTCTAAGACTGTTTGGAGAAGACGAAGAAACGCTTGAGCGTTTTTTAAAAATCCCATGCTGCATGCACAATGGGAAACTCAGATATCAGTATTTCAGTAAATCATACGAGTTGATCGTGCATTAACCTGTACAAAGGAGAACAAAGAAAGCTATTTATATATAGGGCAAGACTACAGCATGTAATAATTCAATTACATCCAGAGTCCCCCATATTCTTGTAAAGTAAATTCTGAGAATGCATTAAAGAAGTAGCTAAGGAACCAATTAGAGAAAGAACTTGCCTTCCAATTGAGCTCAGGCCTATGAAAATAGGTGGCATAGACACTGGGGTCTTCAAAAAATATTCTAACTGAACATGAGCTGAACACATTTCATCTTTTGTGTAAAGACGCTCTGAAGAAACAATTCTGGAAAGTTCACTGCACTGCTTACATGAAAACTGCCATTCATTTGGGAGAAACCAAAAGCCACAAACCCGAACATTTGATGGCCAATAACCTGTCAAAGTGCTAAAAACCAGTGAGAATTTTGACATAGTAGGAACAAAACGTGACTGACCACTTGACCAGACCGACCACATTCAAAAGAAGAGACAGGATCTAAAGTAGCATTTATGAAAGATTAATAAATGATAAAGTCGCATGCATTGATTATAGTAAAAATCATTCAGCATAAAATGACCGGGGGAAGCTATTTAAGCTGTGAAGCACTCCTAAATTTTAGGTATGGAGTATCCTGATACCCCCCCTATATGTATCCAATATTGGAATATCCCTTGGCTATTGTCAACTCTCACTTAAGGATTTTCGCCGACACTCTAGCGTGACACCACTATTACAGTCAAGATATATGGGAAAACCATATAAGAAAATGCAAATCTTTTCCTTGCTGAACAAGAATGGGATGCTGTATTATTTACACGTGAGGAAAATGAGAGCAAAGACAGTATTATGAATGATGTTAATAGTAGAATTCGCAACTTTTTGTGTTTTCTTTTGTGTGGTGAGGAAACATAGATAGGGTGCCTGGATGAAGGGGTCATGTATGATTAGCATTGAACTTAATAATATTATCTTATTGACATATCCTTACTGAATCCGTACCCTAGAATCTAGAGATTGTAGAATCATTGTCATAATGCCAAGAGACCTTTCTGAGGTTTTCTGTGAAGACATAGAAAAAGTGAACTTGAAGTGCAATCGTATCCATGGTCATACAGAATCACTAAGTTCAAGAAAGCAAGCAAAGTAAGCTTCGCACAGTAGTTCAAACAATCCCTTGTGTGATGTGCTTGACACAGAATCTTGCCATCTACTCTTGGAAAGACCATGTAAGTCTGATAACAAAGCAGTGCACCTCGGGAAAATAACATTATCTTTGTCTTTATTAAATATAAAACTACATATGAAGTAGGCACCCAAAAGTTGGGGATTGACTCCATCCTCTATGCTTCAAACTAGTGACAAATTTTCTCAGCACGATGAAAGAGAAGATGAAGAAGCTATCATCAAACTATTACTCAGGGACGAGTTGTTTCACAGAGAAAATGACACATAACAAATTAAAGATGCCAGATAAGTGTCTGAAAATCAGAAAAGAGTTCAAGAGCCTTTTATATTTCCCATGAGTAATATTTATGGGCTAATGTAATTAATGAGTTGTTTAGGGAAGTATGCAAGAACTCGTAATATAGAGACCTTAGAAGTAAAAGAAAATATCGTCTGACCAATTCCTATTCTGCTTTAAGCCTTTAACAGAGTTTTTAGCACCATTTTCACTGTTTATCAAAATCTACCTCTGTCATTTCTTAGGCTTTTCTCAGATTTCTCCATAAGTGTTGGCTCCAAGCCTTCAACGATGACTGCATTATGAATATGCTTCTACTTAATCTCTAAAGGGACTATTATTCATTCTCATCACTGAATTCCTCTCATCCCACTAAATGAAACAATACAAAACTTGTCTGGGCAATTTTTTTAAGTAGAAAGTTTAAGAGCACCTTGGTGCAACCTGTGTAAAAAGTTTAGGGCTACAACAAAGTTAGAAGGTAAGAGATTTTAAAAGGCTAAAGCAAGAGCAGTAAATAAAAGGGATTTGAGAATGTTAGCTAGAGATTGATTTTCTACCTAGTTGCATGATGTGCAAAACCATCACCTTCGCAAGTATCCTATATCAAACCTATGAATTCAGTAGTACAACTGTAGACATGAAAGAAATTTGTACAAGTTTAAAATTGTATAAACATTTATACCAGGGCACTCGACTATTTCTTTGCTAAATCCATACCTGTCACACAGTGAGGAAAATCTTCAGAATAGAAACTATAAATAACTTCTTCCAGCAAAGAATTAAATAAATAACACACATTTATTTGAATAGATGCATGGAAAACTAGCCATTTTTCACATGGAACTTTAAAATCTACAGTATTTACCAGATAATTGCAGAAAGATGATCAACACTTTTAAATCTCTCTCTCAAGAATTTTCATTTTGTTACCTATACCTATGAGCAAGTTGAAAACTCAGAACTCAAAGAAAAAGGGTGGATGGAGGCCTATCATGCCAAGTGGGTAGACCTGTTACTGGGTCCTGCTTTTGAATGTTCATTTTGTTACCTATACCTATGTGCAAGTTGAAAACTCAGAACTCAAAGAAAAAGGGGGGATGGAGCCATGGAGGCCTATCATGCCAAGTGGGTAACTCTCACTCTCACTCTCTCTCTCTCTCTCTCTCTCTGTGCTTTTGAATGTTCATTTTGTTACCTATACCTATGTGCAAGTTGAAAACTCAGAACCCAAAGAAAAAGGGGGGGATGGAGCCATGGTGGCCTATCATGCCAAGTGGGTAAACCCTCTCTCTCCAGAATTGTAAATTTTTTACTTGTACCCTATGTGCAAGTGGAAAACTCGGAACTCACAAAAGAAGCGGAGATGGAGGCCTATCATGCCAAGTGGGCAAACCTGTTACTGGATCCTGCGTTTGACAACAAAACAATTACACAAGTTCAAATATAATTACAGCAGATATGTGATAGACAATTTTCAGCTCAGGTGGTACAAACTTCTTTTGATGAGTGAAGAACTCATTGCAGAAAAAAACCAAATGTGTCAACGTTGGTCCTCAAGAACCACTGTTACAATACACTGAATGCATTAAGGAGTTTCAATTCAAAGATATTAACCGTAAAAGGGCAAGGACTCAAATTCAAATCATCACATCGCCAGGATCCCCAATACTCGCTGAAAAGTGGCCACATCCAGTGGATCACATCTTTCCAACAAACCTATGTGCATATAAAAATTGAAAAGAAGAATGTTATTTTTGCAGGTCACAAACTTAATTTATATTTCATAGACAAGGCTAAAATTGAAATTCACTTGTTGGCGATGCTGTACACCATCAATTCCTAAGGCAGACCAATACCATTTACATCAACATTATTTTCAAATAGTACTCTACAAACAATAAAGTACCTTAGTGTTGTGAGCTTCCTGTAGGTATTTATATAAAAGTGGAAGTTCTTTTTCAAATTGGCGCTCAAACGACGAAGGTGCACTGGAACATAATTTGAAGCAGCAACAAATCATCAAGCCAGAACTTCAAAACATTATAGCTACTTACAAGTTCTTACAAAATAAATCTCGTTCGAAACTCTCAACAATAAAAATGCATTTAGTGTACACTTGCAGTTGAAATTGTTGAATACAATAAAATTTTTATTCCTTGGATTTTCTATATACCTATACACAATAGTGTTGCTCTAGTTAGTTGATAATGAGGATATGGAATAATTGCTTCCTGACTTTATATGTAGGGTAGGCTATTCACACATCCATTTTTACTTCTCCCACACCCTTGTTAAGTTTTGGCCATTGATCTTCTTCAATTCATTCGATTTGACGACCGAAAAATTGAGAGGGGTGTGTGGGAAGTAAAAATGGGTGTGTGGATAGCACTACCCTATATGCATCTTCATACAATTAAACACAAAGTCAAATACTGATTTCCTTTCTATATGATCAGTGGAACTCATTATGCAGTAGAATTTCTAAGTGGCCCTAATATTAATCCCCCCGCCTCTCCAAGATCTTCATAAACATGACAGATTCCAAATTAAAAAGAGTACAGTTGAGGGTGGCCAGTCACCATATATACACTGATTGTTACATAAGATCAAGATTCAACTTAAATAAAATAAAACAAAGGTTTAGTACCTATATGGAACAACATAAGGAGCAGCAACTATGCAACGGACACGAAAAAGTTCTGCAATACTCCATCCTTCCTTGACCATCAAGCAATTGAAACCAATTTAGATATCTCATCATTATACCTACTGTCAGAAAGTCTAGTTGGATGCAATACTTATTTAGTGTCGAATAAAATTTAACATAATGCTAACTTGAGATGCAGATGTTCAAGATGTTTGAGCCGGCAATAAAACCTACATAAGAACTTGAATGGCAAACCAGATAACCATACAAAACTTCTATTTGTTAATATTTGACATCCCTGCATATAGCCTTTCAAAATATATTCTTCTTTCATGCACAATGTATTAATCCATAGAACAGATGCCTATGATGTAAGGTACGGAAAGGAAAAAGAGAGAAAAAACCAGCAATAGGGAAGTACCAAAGCAAAGAAATTGATCAGTATAAAATCACCCTCCATGCTCGGGCCTGATCCAAATATCGTCTCCACTGCCAAACAACATTCTTGTCTGTGTTCAGCAGAAAACATGATTTTCTCCAAAGAACCTGGTAAAACAAAACATCCAATGACAACTTTACACATGTTGAGAGAAGAACAACGAGAGAGAAGCGGAGCAATCTGAACCTGGTTCTTCTGTACTACCATGTTCCTGATGGATTGGGACAACAGGTGCTGATGAAATTGGAAGATACGAAACATGCTTTTCAGCCAAATGACAACGTAAGTTCTGCATTACAAGTCACAACAACAACCAACCAATTACAAAAACAATTAGTAAATTAGAAAGAAAAAAAACCCCTACAATCATAAGCTTTCATAGAAAAACACTTCGAAAGCTCAATTGGAGGGAAAAAAATAAAAAATTAAACCCTCACCTATCGAATCGCCATGCTCTAATTAATTCTTAATTCTAAAATTCCTTTTGTTTCAAAGTATTGGTTTTTTCTCTAAATATTGAGTTTGAAGTGTTCATACACACACACATATATAGTATACTATCAAACAAAAGTAATTTTCAAACGAACCTCATGCGCTGAATGCGTGATGAGGACAACGTCGTACTGGCTCTGGTCACAAGCAAAAGCCGCCGCAATGGCCTGCAAAGTGCAAACCACAGAAGCAAAAACCGTCATTAAATTTTGGCAATGTTTCAATTTCTTGCATTTTCTCGGGAACCAAACGGAAAGAGTGAAAGGGAGGAAGGAATGTTGACTTACAGCAATTGGATAGACATCGCCCTTGGTACCGAAGGCCATGAACACAGCAGCAGGTTTCGTCCTCTCCGTTTCAACCTCCATGACTATTCGCTGCTGGCTAGCGCAAATGCAGACCATGCTTTTCTGTTTAACAAGTAAGGTTTAAGTGACGAGCCCACAGGGCCAAACTCCGTACGGGTTAGTTTGGGCCTTGCCACGGGCCAGTTTGGGATTATTATGTTTTTTTTTTCAAAATTGTTTCTGCAAAAAAAAAAATAAAAAATTTTAACGAAAAATCTATAGTACTGTTTACTTTAACGAAAAATCATATTTTAACACTAAAAAGTTAATCCTTGTACTATGCACTTTATCATTTGTTTTGTCCTTATCGTTAAAACTCAAAGTTTTAAAGTTATTTTCATTAGTTTTCCTTCAAAAAAAAAACAGGTAAGTGTTTGGTGAACTACAATGTTGAAAGTACTTTTTAGTAAAAAAAAAAAAAAAAAAAAATGTCAGAGTGTTTGGTAAACTTTAAGCAATGCTAAACCACCTTTAAGTCTCACATGGACTTAACATGATGATTTGGTCAGAATTGGCTCAAACATAAGATTAAGACTTCTCACTTATAAGTGAAGAAAAATATCACTAAGATGTAATACTAAGTGGTAGATTGTGATTGTATTAAATACGTATATTCACATGAATTATTTTTTTACTGTTAAATGGGAATTGTATCAAATACATATAAGTATTGTAGTCAATTTCGAATAATCAGTTGTGAAATAAAATATAATGTGTTTGATAAATGATAAGTGTGTCTCTTTATAAGTGATGCGGATATCAAAAGCAATGATAAACGGAGTTACATGACAATATTAAACGTCACTAGAGGAAATAAGGGTATGTTTGGGTTCCAAATTTTAAGGCATTTTAGACCAATTCTAATGCGTGTTGCTAAAACCCAAAATTTAGAATTTAGGAACCAAAACCACTCCCAACTCGAGCCCAATTGTTACTAAATTTCATTATCTCATCCGTACGACCCCAAATTTGGGAATGGAATTGGATCCCATCCAGAATCATTTTGTCAAGATTCTAGTCATTCATCGTGTATTATACGGTAGAAAATTATTTAATTTTTTTTATTTAAAATTAAACACAAATAGTATCTGACGAAAACTGGCCACATGATATACGATAAATGGCTAAGATGTGGGAATCTCTAGGATTCCCACAAAGTGGATCCGGAGAGGATCCTCTTCCTTTGGGAACTCCTTTTATTGTTGCCATTTCTTGTGGACCCCACATATAGCTTGGCAAACAGGTCGTGTGTTGCCGTGTTCGTGTTGTTTTCTTGTAAAAAAAAATAAAATATAAAAGCATTTTAGTCAAAATGGTCCTTGGTATTGGCATAATTTCTTATTTTGTTCATTGAGATTTGAAATTGATAAAACTGGTCTCTCAATTTGTTCACGGTCAATCACTTTGGTAATTCCATGAAAAATCTCTGTTAAATAAAGACCAAAATGACAAATATATCCTCAATTTAATAAACAATGACCCAAATTAATTTGACAAAAAAATTAAGCGTATTTTTGTCATTTTATCATTTAGTGTTATGAGAGGGAAAGGTAAATTTGACAAAATACCCTCACTTTAACAGAGATTTCTCACATAATGACCAAAATGATAGACGATGAACAAAATTAGGGATCAGTTCTATTGATTTTAAACCTCAGGGACCAAGTAAGGAGTTATGCCAATCTTAAGGATTATTTTGATTAAAACGCCAATAATTAATTGTGATACAGGTAGCATTTTTAACGATATATAAAATATAAGCACTAATCCAGTAGTGTAGATGTTAATTTGAAATTTTATTTTTGAAATACGAACCAGTTTTAACGGGAACTCTACACCGGAGCCGAAGGGTGTCCTTATGATGGGCTGGCTAGCCCTAAATGCCCAAATCCAAGGAAAATTCCAAATTGTATCTCAAATTGACGGGTTAGTGTGAGCTTATATACTCGAATATGTAATGCTAAGTGACTTCTTTAACCTGTTTTCCCAAAAAAAAAAAAAAAAAAAAAAAGAAGAGAAGACTTAAGTGTAAAAAGGCAAAACATAAAATAAAAAAAAACTTTCAACGAAAAGTTTATGATACTGTTTACTTAAATGAAAAATTAAATTTTTACATTAAAAAGTCAATCATAATATTATTTATTTTACCCTTTATTTTGTTCTTATTGTTAAAATTCAAAATTTTCAAATAATTTCTCTTAAAATAAATCAAGTAGGATTAGTGATTGGATAAGGATTACTTAATTGATTTTAATAATAATAATAATAATGGTAAAGCGAGCAGTGCAAGTGGGAGGAAAGGAAACACACAGAGAGAGTAGAGCCTACGGCATCACGACTTTTGGTTTGTTTTGTTTGTTGGTTTGGGAAGGAATTCCAAAGCAATTTAATTATTATTATTTTTAAATTAAAAAAAGATTCATCGGAATTCTTCGCCGAAGAAGAAAAAGAAATCAGGTGAAAAATCAAATCAGAGGGCTAGAAATCCGGGGGAGAGTTGCGAGGATGATGGCGACGTCTTCGAAAATGGCGGTGGTTTCAACCGCGAATTCGGATCTGCCGCGGAGGGAGTCGTCTATATGTTCACTCTCTACTTTCCTGGCCGACGACGACGACAACCGTCACCACAAGCACCAATCCATGAGCATGGACGACATCCTCAGGAACATCTACAGCTCCACCGGGACTGGCACCGGAAACGAGATACACGACAACGGTCACCATCAACAACTTCATCATCACGCCGAGGCCAGGTCCGTCGACGAGGTCTGGAAGGAGATCGTCGCCGGTGGAGTGGGAGTGGGAGTGGGAGAGGAGGAGGTGGGAGTGGCGGAGGGAGACGGCGGGGATCAGGTGCGGGGAGGAGAAGGAGGAGATGGTGGTGGGGGTGGGATGGAGGAGATGACCTTGGAGGACTATCTCACTAGGGCTGGGGCCGTGAGGGAAGAGGACGTCAGCTTGAATGCCGGCGGAGTTCCGATTGGGTACGGGCAGTTCCAGGTGCAGCCTCCTCCTCCTCCTCCTCCACCTCCGGCTGCTCAGGGTCAGCTGGTGTACGCGAACGGGACAACAAGCACCAGCGGAGGCGGAGGTGGTGGTGGTGGAGGAGGGAGGGCTGGGAAGAGGAGAGCCGTGCAGGAAGCTCCACTCGATAAGGCAACGCAGCAGAAGCAGAAGAGGATGATCAAGAACAGAGAGTCCGCTGCCCGGTCCAGGGAACGGAAGCAGGTTGGATTCGGTCTTTGCTTGACCATGTTTGTTTGGTTTCTGAGAAAATGTTAAATTGATTGTAAACAGAAATCTGAAATCGTTTATTGACATTGCCGTGTTTTAATTGCGATTTTAGGCTTACACCGTAGAGCTCGAATCTGTGGTAACGCAGTTGGAGGAGGAAAATGCGCGGCTCCTCAGACAACAGGTCTATTAATTCTTCAATCATTTCTTAAAATATGATCATATGCTTTTACCATTCTGTTTAAAAGAAAGTTTTTCGCTCTAATTCCGTATGAATTCTGATTTCTGAATGCAGGCTGAGCAAAAGAAGGAGAGGTTTAAGCTGGTATGTACTTTACATCTATGAATTGTGAACTGCCTTCGTGTGTGTACCGATTTATTCTTTATGGTTTTCAATTTCGTAAATGATTCGTAGGTGTGATCATGTTGAACATAAGCAGCTTCCAGTTCACAAGCTTGGAACTTTCCTTTTCAATCAGCTTTAAGTTTAAAATACGTAATCAACTTGATAAGAGTTATTTTCTAGCTTTACTGATTTTTGACCTTGCATTGAGAAGATTTCTGTGTAGAAACAATACCTCAATTGGGAAGAACGAAAGTTTAGATTTGATTTACAAATATTGCCATCACTTACCTAGGAGGTTCTTGGGATAGGTAGAAAAAATCATTATGGCTGAACAAGATTAGGATTAGTTTTCATAAAATGCAACAAAATCCATTAAAAGAGTATTCATTTGCTCCTCGGGGTCTTTCCGATGCAAGAGAAATGAGGGTGACAACTCTATGGCCACATCCGTATGCTTTCTCAGTAAGAAGCATGACGGCTTTTCGTATAATCAAATCAGAGAGGCTTAAGTTATCATTATATTTAAATGTCAACTCTTAACTGAAGTTTTCAAACGTCTTTTGGTATTTTAGCATCATGATATTGTGGTTTGACCATAAGAAGAAAGTTGGGACTGGGTTTTGATATGCGGATGCTGCAGTTAGTATGCGAGCATACAACCTAGTTTGTTAGTTGTTTGGTTTGTGAACTGGAACTTGTACGTGGCCAGTCAACTAACATATCGTTAAATAACTGAATTAACTGCAAAAAAAGGTGATATCAGCCAAAGCTTTTGGTATTTTGATCAGGCTGAAGTTTGGCCTATATCTGGAACCTAAGTTGCATGCCACCCTTTCATCTTCTGGTCTGATTTTCTAACACTATCTATTATATGTTAATTTTTTACAAGAAGATGCAAGATTTTCATAATTTGGATTTTTCTCCTGATTTATCTAGGATTTATCAATGAAACGAAGGTCCTGTTTTGCTGTACCCCTATACTATTTTTGAAAACAGACTAGGTTGCACTTACACACCGCTATTCTTAGCGATCACTCGTAGAATATGCCATCTGGTTGCTTAGTAATGAGATGTATAGCTTACAAGTCAACAATCTTGTTCGGGAAGATATTCCAAAACTACAACGCATTGCAGTCCGTGATTTAGGTCTAATTTGACGATGTTAATGATGTTGAACTTGCTGATTACATTGTCTTCTTTATATGCATCTTTTTGTTTTGATCATATCTTCTTTATATACATCTAAAGCTGCATACAAGTGTTAGTAAATGATCTAACTCTCTCTCACTCTGTCTGCACTTGCAGCTCATGGAGAACCTCATTCCTGTTGTAGAGAAGCGGAGGCCACCACGTGTTCTTCGGAGAGTACATTCGGTGCACTGGTAGATGCGGTACCTACCATGTGGTCTGCGGTTATACATAAAAGGAATTTGGTAGATAAATACTTAAAGAAGGAAAACAGATTAATGGTCGATTAGCTGGTGGTTGATCTTTTGGTAGTCGAAGCGGATTTTGTAAAGAGATGCAGGTACAGCTGAAGCTTTGGATCAATTTCAATACAAGTAACGGTGGATGCTCTCAGTTGAAGGCTTGTGGGAGATCGTTTTCAAACACTTGACAGGTTCATTGTAATTAGTATTTGTAGAAAATAACCTTCTCATTTACAGAAAGCCCGGTTGCCCTTCATGCCGGTTAAAGGGCAAACCGATAGAGCTAGACGACAGACTAATTTATACTAATGTTGCTGTTTACTCGTAAATGATATGCTCGAGTGAGGAACCATATGGTACATGATACTAAAACCCGTTCACGATTTGATTTTCGAATTTGGTTTACCGATGTTGATCTGTTTTCGAATGTGATATAGCGATGCTGATCAGTATTCGTTTTGATAAGTTCCGATAATGTTTTAGCTTCGATTTGTATGTATGTAACTGAATAGGACTGAGTTATATATATCAAACGATCCGGAGTTACAACCAAACTGTAAGAATATTGCAAAGGACTTTTTGAACGTAACATATACAAACCAAACTGTGACATACATACCTCATTTTACCGGAAGTCCCAGAAACAAAAAATACTATGTTGCTCGCGAAACCGAAGAGATTTTTTCACGGTGTTTGTTTAACCTCTGTATTGTTGCTGACCGATATACCTCTACTCTCCTTGCAAACTCGGAAATATGCAAAACAACGAATGTATTCGCAAATTTGTACATTTCTTGCTCGGTAGAAACTCTGTCTTTTACGTTACTCCGGATTGTTTGCGCGACTCAAAAGTTCGAGACCTTCAGTTCTGCAGTTCATAATCCGACGGAATACTTCCCTGATTTGGCGTTCCAGCGGATCCAGTCCATTCTTAAAACTTTCACAAATCGATGCTAGCTCCTGCAGTTCTTGTTCGACTTCCACTTTCTGTTCCTCTGTTAACGGGAACTGAACCAGATCCATCAAGTCTGTCATGTGGCGGGCACATCTCTCGACATGATAAATCTCCCTCAGCAACCCGTGAGAGTTCTGGCGCTCTCGCTTCTTAGATTCCTCTATTATCCGTTCGTGAAGTGAGGATAACGGGATGCCCCAGGAGTACTGCGGCGGGATCGAAAAATGAGTGCTGATACCTCGATCCTGACATGGGATCGCAGCCACAAGAGACAACAAAACAAACGTGATAACACAACTCATTGTGAAAACAGACCCTGCAAGCCCATTCGTTGCAATAACCTCGTTTCCACGAGGTGCTACCAAGTTGCTTGCAATTGACTGAAGCTGCTTAGCTGCGGACCAAGAATGGGATATGCTCCACGAGTGAGAGCGGGAATGCCCAGTTGGATTCCCAGATGAGTGTTGCCGACGGCGAGCATCCTTTCTTGTGTTATTGTTACGCCCAAAAGACCAGTTGCGGTGGGAAAAAACAGACCCAGAGTCTCTCTCACCAAGCATTTCAAGTGCCAAATCCACCAAAGCCTTTCTTGCTCGACGGAACTGGCCCTCAGAGAATGCCCTCTGGCGAGACTCCAAGGCACACAGAACGATCTCTAAATGCTTATGCCACGCACGAATCTTGTCAATCCCATCGCGAGCAGCATTGCAAATGTCAAGTGCCTTCAAGCTCCTATCCAAGTACTCATCCGCCCAATGGTCCAACGGCGGTTTAGAAACCTGCACCTTGTTTTTCAACAATAAAACCCTGAACTCGTCTTGGCAGCTAACAAAAACATCCAAAAGTTTCCTAATCCACGCAATGGAGAGCAATTCATCAGCACCAACAGCTGACAAGTCATGAAACAGGTCCGTAACAAGTTTTTGAAAAGATTGAACCTCTAATTCCAGCTCACTCAACTCCTGATTAGCTTCTTCTGATTGAAATGGCTCTCGCCGGCTCCAAATCGAGCGACCAATCGAAGTCAACGGCGAAGAAGAACCCGGATTGTGCGTCGAAGGCATGGTGACACTGCCACAATATTCCAACACCAAACCCCACTGAATACTCACAAAACTCACAGATTTCACAAAACCAACATAACCCCACCTCCAATTCAGCTAAATTCGATGCACCAAACCGCGAAAAATCGACAACATTTCAAAATCCACCTACAATTCATTCAGGTTTATCAGCTAAAAAACTCGCGAATTTAAGCTTTGTTCTTCCACCCTTACTCAAAACAACCGAATGCAAAGAATTTGAAACCCTAACACAAAATCGAAGAACAAACCCACCTCTACAATGCAATAACACGAAAAACCCAGATCCAGAAAATCCCAGGAGGCAAAGGATCGAAATTTTAAATTCTGAGAAGAAGTGAGAGAAAAGAAAAGTACCTTTGGTTTTGCTTGGAAGGGAGGCTCAGAACTCAGAAGCTCAACTCTCAACGCTCTCCAGGAATGTTTTTGTTGAGAATAATTGAAGACAGACAGGCAGACATGTGCGCGCCTGCTGAATCACTGACTCGGACTCGGACAAACAATATAAACAGTGGATCTTCAGAGCTCAGCCCTCTCGCTTCGCTTCCTTCGAAAGCCAAAATCGAGGAGCGACAGATACGGAAATATATTTTAAGAACAAAACAAAAGGAAAATTTGACAAGTCGACCACGTGTCTGAAAAATCATAAGTATTTTTGAAATGTTACGTACGCATGTTGTGTAATGCAGGTATTATATACGAATTTGCTGATTACGAATGCAAGTGATAATTCGACATGTATTTCACGAATTGTCAAAATACGCTTTTGAAAGGTTTATTTTTAGCTACATTAGTTGGAATTTGATTTCAATCTCATTTTATTTCTGAAACTCAAAAGCCGACATTTTACCCCCTGAAACTCGATTTTGATTCAACTTTGTTCCCTGAAACTTAAAAATCGATATTTTACTCTATAAAACTTGATTTTGATCCACTAAACTTATAATGATTAAGTTGAGTGTGATCCTAGTTGATAGAAGTATATGCAGCTTGTGTTCTTTGGGCGATTATCACGTTGATTTGTTTAATTAGCCGTTTAAGTGGAAGAGACGAGATAGACGACGCAATTTAGAGTTTATGATTTTTAGGTAGCTAACTCAGATTAGGATTCTCTCTTTTTCAAATTTCTCTCCTTATTTGAACGGTCACGATTAAATTATGTCAACATCTGTGTTGACTTCTTTATAAAGAAACAAAGAAAAAAAAAAAAAAAAAAAGAGTGAGAGAGGAGGGAAGCAACGAGTAGAAGATTTGGAGTGGAGAGAATCTTATTCCAGCTAACTCGGTTGCTAGTTAGGCCTGTGAATGGGCCAAGAGTTATGGAGTTATTGCTCCCCATCAGGTTACCATGATGAGTTGCTTGTTTAATTAGCGATTCGTTTGGAATTACTTCTAGAATGGTTAAATGTATTTTTTTTTTTTTTTTGTGAAAATGTTTTTGAAATCGATCTTTAGTAAAAATACAAGTGAATCACAGAAATATACTTAAAGTGCTTCCTACTAAAAGCGCATAACTGGTGCTTCTTGCAGGAAAAGTATTTTCGAAACCTTATAAGATTTTGTTTAAAATCACTCTCAGTCAATTTAAAAACACTTTCAAACGAACCATATATCGTGTTAAGTTTAAAAGACTTCTTACGATGGCCCGTAATTTGAGCTGTCACATGACATACCTCATTAAGTCTTTCTTGCATAATTGGTGCTTTTTGCAAGAAAAACATTTTTGAAATCCAGTAATATTTTCTTTAAAATCACTTTCAAGTGAGACATTATACCAAAGCGTACCTTTCCGTGTAGATTTGAGAATCAAAATGGTCAATAACGGCCTCCTCGAATCCCATAGGATAATTTTTGTAAAATATTGGGTTTTTAATATGGGTTGAAACATCCATAAATAAAAACTTAATTCAATTAATTAAAACAGATAATAATATTGGGTTTTTTAATTTGGTCGAATTGAGTTGGATATGATTTTCCACTAAAATTATTTGCCAAATCATGCATGCAATGCAGAGCTGTGAAAAATTGATTGTTTGACAAAATTTAAAAGGAAATTGGCATTTAATTGTGAAAATTATATGCCAACGAATGCAATGTAGTTGACAGCCTACCAAAACTACACCTTATATCATCACTACCAGAATGCCATCCCTCCCAATGACATGATTGTGACATCCACCACCTTCAAAGGGGTCATGGGCAACCAGTGACCACCCGTCGCCTTTCGCCACCACATAATAACGCGAGCTAAGCCACATCCGAAATATTATATGGGGACCAATGTAAGACTCTTTTACCTTTACATTCTCAAACGCCCCTCTCACGTGTGACGAAATTTTAAGCCAAACATGTGGCTGTTAGGCTTCACACGCAGGACAAACTACTCTGATACCATGAAGAAAGCTGAGGTTCCACCATAAAACTAATTGACAATATAAGTAGACGACCAATCTCTTATAAACCCTCGCAAGGTTTCTCCATAAACTCTTCTATCTTCACATTCTCACAGCCAATCGGGTTGGCAAAATCATAGCATAACTAAACGTTTGACAGCGAAGAAAACACGAAACAACAGACCAGAAGGCGGGAGACAATTTATAAACTAATTGGCAGAAACTCAAGGCAACATTAAAGATCTGAGATTAAAATGCTGTTACACCTTTTGTTATTAGGGTAGCAATTGAGTTCTTGAACAAAACAGACAATTTCCTACCCTAACGCAAACGCAAACAAGAGCGGGTAAAAAGTGAAGATAAAGGCGAGAAAGAGAGTGATTGTCAACGGTGTTTTCTGCTTACCACCGTCCACTTACTCTCTTCTATTCACAAGCCAATTTCGTGTCAAAGCTGCTCAAGCAGATCGCGAAAGCCTGAAATGCAGATAAAGGATAGCGATAATCCATCGTGAACATATCTTTACCAACCTTGCCAAACTGCAAGAGTATCTTGTCGTGCTCTGGCGGCGCTGGCTGTGATGGAGTAGGTGCACCAGCAGCAGGCTGAGTAGCAGCAATCAACTGAAAGTTCTTAACAGAAGCAACAGTTACCCTGCCTCGGAAGTTCAGGCACCAACACTGTAATTGTTCATGCCATCGTGGGGGTTTGTTTTTCAAAACCAAGGGTCTTGTCTTGCCATCCTCATCATCTCGGGGTACATCAATTTCAGAAAACCGTGTACTGCTGAATTCTACTGAGTGGTCAAGAGACTTTGAGAAAGAGATACTTCGGAATGAGTCTTCCAGGGCTCGGGTAAGGAGTTCTGGTTGGCCAGGGACAGTACCTCCTGCATCAAGAGATGAGACCGGGATAGAATGCATGATGCAATGCATCCTTCTAGGACCGCGAGTGCCCAACACATTTAGCTCATATGTTATCTGAGCAATGTTATAGCTGCCAGTCGGGACTTTTGGTGAGACTTTTTTGGAATTAAATCTACGGCTTGACCGCCCTGGTGGGGGAACATGTTCAGAAGTGTATGCAGGCTGCGTATCATATACAATGAATTTTGTGCCAAGAAAGTTTGACCTGGGAAAAGAAACAAAACTTGAATACTTCAAAACAACATTTTCTATCAGCTGTAAACGCCAGTAAAATAATAGATGATTAATCACTACGAGATCAACTATTCTTGTCTTGTAAGTCCATCGTGTCATAGTCATCCCTAATAGAACTAAATAATAGAAGACACATCTAACCATGCTTTACATTAATTCATCTCGGCACATCACAACGGAATGATTTCATAACAACAAATATACCATGTTAAGGCCTCACTTCCATATGCATGCATCCATTCCCCTACACAGAGCGCGATATTTGTCTTCTGAATAGAAAAAATTGTTTGCACTACTAAGAGAGGTTGTACCAAATCTATTCATTCTATCTGGCAAAGCTTCCTTTGAAGGAAGAATGTCAATGGAGTTCCATAGTAAGCAAAACGAGCTCTTTGAAAGAAAAGAAAAACTAACTAATAATAAGAGGATTAGAATAAATAGATATCATACCAACTGTTCGTTTGAGAAATGAGAAAAACTATATGTTACTTTAATCGTGTATGCTTGTGAATTGTAAATAGGCTTCCGGTGTCTTTGCGTCAAGTTCTTACCTTAACTTTCCAATGTAACTGCTGCTTGATCTAGAGATGTTGTCAGCATCCATAGAGATAACATATTCTGTACAAGTAGTTCTTCGAGTCCTCTTTGCAGAAAGAAGGAATTTCCCATTCTCAACTAGCAAAGCTGCAGAATTGCAGACATAACAGAATGGTGAACCATTTATGGGCCTAATCTCGAGAATGCCAGCATAACTATTCATTACAAAAAATAGTAAACATAATCTAAGAATCTTGAAAGCACCTCTAAAATATGTTGAAATAGCATATGACCCATGATTTCTTGGACACTTCTAGTGGAATCAATGTCTGACATAAAGGCGGTGCATGTGTACGCCAGTATTTAACTTATCTATTAATTTTGCAGACCTTTAAGTTGTTGCATGTTTCATACTGCTGTAGTACCTATTGTAATTTTCCATGCTAAAAAGACCAAAACATGCATTGAGATGCATTATAAACGTCCAACTATATTCCTGATCTAGAAGTTTGCTATTGTTATTGACACTACGCTATGTGAGGGACTTACAAATCCTGAGGGATTGAGGCCAAGCTAGTAAAGAATGGATTACAAAATGTTAGATAAGCAAATTAAAAATGCACCACATGAGCATCACAAAGGCATGTTACAGGGATTTGCCGATGACTACTTCGACGGAGTCATTTCTACATACCTTTGTATTGGTCATGTAGTGCATTTCGAATCCCTCCTATATAATGTTTGTAGTGTATTTCTTCCTCACTTGGCCTAAATCCCTTGGGACTTGGAAGGCCCTCACCCAAACATACCATTAGGGTTTGCCATTATTATGTTATAATGAAATAAAAGAAAACATTACAAAAAATGTAATACCTAAAGTAACATTTTTACACACTATAAGTTTCTAACCATGTAAAACCTTAACAAACTAAAGCTTTTTCACACCACACCACACCATTACTCAAGCCACCTTTAAATCAACTTTACATTCATGTATTAATGCTATCACCACTATTAACTTCTTTTCGCTGATGAAATCGGGTTGCAAACTATTATACTGAACACATGAAACGGGAATAGAAACATTAGATATTCTCTTAGCTACATTACAACCAAGAAACCCATAAACTTTTGCTAATGAATAACATTAGTATCATATGAAAAGAATACAAAACAAATAGTAGGAAAGTTCAATTGACATTCTCAAGATCTACAAAATTTGAGAGTTGGACGATAAAATTCCAGATAGAGCTTGACATGCTCAGCATCAATAACAACTGGTCAGTCAGCTGTAGACTGCCTTCGTTGCCCAAAAGGCTGTTGGTAAAGATGACGCCTAGTGTGAGTCAGTAAATGATTTGGTATTCCCTGGACTGAACTTTTCCCACCCTTGTGTGATTTAAATAGGTAAGCAGTAGCAACTATGCAAGTGATTTAGAGACATCAGAATATAAACAGTTCCACTTTTAAACCTATGTTGA